GAAACTCCTCCAGGCACCTCCAAGGGCTCCACGCCAGCTCCGCCTGTTCCCAGTACCACTTCTCGCACCACCGTGGTCTCCCCCACTCCAGAGGTCCCGGCTTCACCCAGCACAGCCACAGTCACTTCCGTTAAAGGCTCCACCGTGACTGCTGTATCTCTACAGTCCACCCCTGTATCCAAGCCCACGGCATTGCTACCAACAACAGAAAGTACCCCTGAGGTACCTGTCAGTACAACAAAAAGCACTCTTTCCTCACCCATTTCCACTGCTCCAGGTATCACCTCCACCACTTGCCTGCCTATATGCCAGTGGACCGAATGGTTCGATACCCACCATCCAACCTCTCGTTTGAATGATGGTGATTTTGAGACACTTGAACACATTCGCATGGAAGGTATAGAGGTCTGCAAGAATCCCCGAAACATAGAGTGCCGTGCAGAGGAATATCCAGATGTGAATATTTTTCTTCTCGGACAGAAAGTTGAGTGCAACCTCCGCGATGGCCTTCGTTGCTTTAATGCAGACCAGACAGGAGCATCTAAAACGTGTTTAAATTACCAGATTCGATTCCAATGTTGCGACTCTTCGCACTGCTTCCCAGGAACATCTTCTCCAGTCTCCACAACTGGTGCCACTACCGTTTTTATGGGCACCACCTCAGGAGTGGCCACATCTCCTGCCGTCTCCCAAACCTCCACAGAACCTCCACCTATACCAACCATCACTTTTACACGCACTACGGCAGTCTCCACATCCTCAGAAGTTCCAAGTTCATCCAAGACTCCCACAGTTAAAGTCTCCACAGCAATAGCCACATCTCTTCATTCTACCCCGATATCCAAACCAGCAGAAACTAAACCATCCACAGGTACTATAGCTCATTTCTGTAGTGTTTCATTTCTTGCAACACATCTTTTTGCATCTTTTCTCTTTTTAAAATATTTTTAACAAGAATAGGGTAGGGGATATAAAAGGTAAAAGGAAGTAGGAGGAAAGGAAAAGGGTCAGGCGTAGAGGAGAACACAAAGTATGCAATCATCCAATCTATTCATATTACTATAACAAATCAACTTTCTGCTTTTTTACAATTTGATTACCCTCCAGCTTTCAACTGACAGTTATGTTTTAGTTTAAATCTATATTGCTCCAATACTATCTGGGAACAGAAGCCAGTTGTATAATAAACCCTATTGTTCAATTTCCTTTAGAATTGGACATTCATTCAACCCGTCTGAAAGAATATCCATTTCTGCCACTTCCCATATTTTCTCAATAACTTCCTCTTGTTTCAGTAACTCTGCATATTCCAATTTTTGGAAGAGAAGGGTGAATCCAGAACAGTCCAATTTTTAAGATAACATTTTCTGGCTGTAGTAGGTAAATAAATCACTGAGTAACTCTTTATCCCATCTATGTTACCTGGTATCATACTCAATAAAAGCAGTTCTGGGATTAGTGCAACTTCATTTAACTGTTAACATCTAATGACCTCTCTTTCATCTGATCTTCTATTTGGCTAAGACGTTCATTTACTTGCTGAAATCCTGCTGTTACTATCTTTTGCATGGTAGTCTGCCAATCCTTGTCTGATTTTTGTGCCACTATTCCCAAATTTTGAGATTGGGCAAACAAGGTCTCCAACATTTGATGTTTTAAATTTTTGTACGGCATTTCGCTCTTTCTAATGATTAGGCTTTGTATACATAATACTATATCCTTCACCAAAGTGGCCAACCCTCAAATATCTTTCCAAAGTTTCCACTATTTTATCAACAAACCAAACCCACAATCATAAACCTCCCCTAGGTTCTTCCTCCCATCTTTACACAGATGTTATAATATATAAATCAATTGTTAGCCCAACAATTTAAAATAGAAACGTGGCAAAAATATCCCTTTTTCTCCAGAAACCTAACAAAGTTCTGTTATCAGAGTCCCACACAGTCCAGCCAAAAAGTCCAGACTAAACGGCAATCACAGGGTTACAATCTCTCCCATAGACATCCTTATAATCCGTCTAATGTTCTTTCCATTAATCCAAAGATTCAATTAAAAAAACTCCAGTCCTAGTTTTCCTAGCTCCTCAGTCCAGTCGACCATGTCATCTCAGTCTGTTTTCTTGCTTCTAAAAGCTTATTCCTTCTTCTCCAAAAACCTAATAAGATTCTATTATCAGAATCCCACACAGTCTAGGGAGGAAAGTCCAAGCTAAATAGCATTCACAGAATTTCAGTCTCTTAAATCCTGTCCAGTGGTATTTCGCTCTGGGATTTTTTTCCAGAAACAAATTTTTTCCATCTCTTTCAGCCTTGAACCAGCCTGCTATATAAGAGTCAGTTTCACTTTTGAAGAAGCAGGCTGGTAAGCAAAACTCGCCGCTCCTTGCCTTCTTTCACCAAATATTTTAACTCTTATTTCTTTTTCAGCTTAATGGGGCTGTTCATAAATCGTTGTTATATATTTTCAACATCGTATTGCTTGTTCTCCTCTTCTCTGGAGGGGGTGTGTGTTATTCACAGCTCACTGCCAAAGATGGCTCCCACATCTGATCTATGCTCGAGTGAATTCTTCAAAGGGAAGAAATACTGGGTTGCTGCCCAGTCTCCCTCCTTCTGTTGCTCACCAACTGTTTAGAGAGACTTCTCCTAATCTCTCCTTTGATCCCTCATTTCTAAAGGGACCCCAGATGAGGCAGTTCCAGCTTTTCCCAGGAGCTGTTCCCGGAAGCTGCTGGCAGCACTGCGACAAAGCCCCACCTCTCATCCTTTTGCATCTTTTCCAGCATTCCAGTTGTCAGTGGATCTATACCATCTCTTATTAAATCATTCTCTACATTTAAATCAAAAATAACTATTAGTGTTCTATATGTCTCTATGATATTCTTCTAATAGCGTACTTCACTTTTAGAATTGTTACATTATTTCATTACTTTTTTCCCCTTTTCTTTTGGAATCTTCCTACTTGTAGTGTTGACCATATATGTTTGCCTCTATATGTTGCTTTCATTTCTGACCTATAGTTAGTTTTATATCTTTACCTTCTGATTTCCTCTATGTTGTTAAGCCAAGTGGTAATTTAGTTTTTCATTTTTACTTTAAAGGAAGGGAGATAGTTATGTCCTCACTTCCTCTTTTATTTTTCATCCCTATTTATTATTTCCAAACATGCTTTGGCAGCTGAGACCACCTTTGTGAGCAGTACTGGAGACAAGGTGATTGCAGTAAATGGCCAGTGCTTGGGACATCTTTCAGTATAAGTTCACATTTTTCTATGGTATTGCAGATTTGCTTCCAATTTATTTCTAAGATGTACTTCCAAATAAGCTGAACTGATTTTTAAAATAAGTATCCTATTTTCCATAGTATCATATTTATTAAGGCTACAAGACATCCTTTGAGATACAATCCTTTGAAACACTGTTCAAAGCTTTCTATCCCAATCATGTTAGTGTGTCCTCTTCATCCTGTAGAGTTCTGTTGTGCCCTTCAAGTATACATGCATTAACAATACCATGTAATACTGTGTTTCAGTCATATGATCAAAATAATTATATTATTTGACTTATCAACCATTGTGGTGTTCGCCCTCGTGCCCCTTGCCTGACCCTCCTAACACAGAGCACACGAAGGCAAACTAATCTTTTTACCCCACTGCCATCAGTTGATCACTAAATCAACATTACTTATGGAAGGATGAAGATGCAGGTCCAAACTTCACTGCCTTTCAAATAAAAGTTGTTTATTGATTATAGATGTCATTATTAATCATACGTAACTTCTATTATCATCAGTCCCAATCTTCTATTTGTCATTACAGTTCTTACTCACTTTTCACTCTAATCACACCTCAGATCTATCTCCTTCTCCACTCTCTCACTCTGACTCTGACTGACTGACTTCACTCTCTGACTTGGCCTCTTTATTACATTTCTCTAGGCTCCTAGTAACATTAGCCTACAATATGAATATTCATGACTGTTAACATAATAAGGGTAAACACTACAACCATGTTTAGAAACATTTTTTTTAATTTCCCATTTTGCCTGCCCTGCCAAGTGTAGAACAACTATATTGGTCCCACACATCTTGCCTTTTTTCAAGAGTTTATCTGCACAATTTAGGTAATAATTTGTATCACAGCTGGTAAATTTAGAGAAGCTACTGCATTCACAACACCTGTTTGGTGGTATTATTTTTTATCCTTATGTAATCTGAAGATCTGAAGCATGGGGTTCCCTTCTGGACTATTATTACAGTGTGTAAGAAAAATGTGATAGCATCTTCTAGTGAAATTATCTGGTTGAAATCTGCAGTTCTGAGTGTAGTGGTAGGTCCATTTACACTCAGCTGGATTTCCGAACTGACATGCTTAAGATAATGTTCTGCCAAATTCTGTTTTTGCCTTCAATGTCTACAGCAAGCAGTCTCCGCAGCTCAGTGTTTTCCAGGTGAGTCCTCACCTAGGCTGCCCATTGTTAGCTGAGGATAATGCAAGTTATAGGGGAATATACCTGCAGTATGGATGGGCTGGGGAAAGTTGACTTATGTTGTTCAACACTTATTTCCACTTATATAACAATGTTACCTCCATGACAGCTGCTCATTGGTTCCCCCCCTTCTCAATGTGTCTTCAATAGTGTCAAGTACTTCCAGAAGTTCCACAGAGGGAATTACAACAGTCACTTTACAGAAAACAACTCCCTGTTTCTGCCACGTGTCTGGAACTACCAATTCTTTATATTCTCCTGGTGAGTGTTTGAAAAAAATTATATGTGAAGCTGCTCAGTTATTATTATTATATGTTTGGATTGCATTGATTATAAATGCACTGAGAACATTCCTTTTTTCCTACGATCTGAGGACTGGGGAAATTCCACTTTGATACTTTCTTATATAGATTTATGTGGTCAACGGACATGTTTGTATGCATGCAAGCATTTTAAACTATATTATTTATCCTGTTTCTTCTTGCTTTTGAGAATCGTAAATTGCTAATTCCAATATGCCTTTCATAGATTTTAAATGTCATTATTATTGTCATTGTTGTTGTTGCTGCTGCTGCTGCTACTCTGCACCATTTTAGAGAAATGTGGTGTAAAACTATTGAATGTGATTCATTTATAGTTCCCAAAAAAACACTGCCTCTGAGGACAGAACTGAATGATGTGGTTAGCATTTCATTAGACAAGGAGCTCCTGTTAGAGAGAAAATAATCTCTTTATGTCAGTATGATTCTGGCTTATCCCACATGTTGCAAATTAGATTGCTCTTGTTTCATGATTGGCCATTGGGACGTAAGAATTGGCGTAATTTGCCAGTCTTGTTTTTCAGGCATGAAATTTTGAAGGAATTGTGTCCCTTGAGGGAAAATATGTTAATGCAGAAAATACACATATCCTCTATATGTGATATTGTTGTTCAATGCAAGAAACCTACACAAGCCTGAACACATCATCTTCTCCCCTTTTACCTGGTTATCATCCATGTACATCTATTCCAATGTGCTGGTTAATACTTCTTTATTTTCTAATAATACTAAGCTTCATTATTTATATAAATTATGCATCTAGTATGAACACATTAATACAAGATATATCATAGACTGAAATCCCTACAAGCATCAAGAAAATACATTTTAACAATATATATTATGGAGATAAATAATGCACATATTGAAAGTTTCCATTTAATTATCATAATTTCAAACCATCCAGAATCTGATTGTGTATTTATGTCAGTGTAAGTGTAATGCATAAATAGCAGCAAAAAAATTGTCACTAATTAATTAATTGCCACTTATATTCCTGGTAAGGTAAAGGTAAAGGTTCCTCTTGACAATTTTTTTTGTCCAGTCGTGTTCGCCTCTAGGGGCTGGTGCTCACCCCATTTCCAAGCCATAGAGTCAGCGTTTTGTCCGAAGATAATCTCCCGTGGTCACATGGCCAGTGCGACTTAGACACGGAATGCTGTTGCCTTCCCACCGAGGGGGTCCCTATTGATCTACTTGCATTTGCTGGGACAAGCGACGGGAGCTCACTCCGTCGCATGGATTCGATCTTACGACTGCTGGTCTTCTGACCCTGCAGCACATGCTTCTGCGGTTTAGCCCACAGCGCCACCACATCCCTTACTCCCCACGTACCTTATATATTCCTGACTGGGCACCAAATTTTGCAATTGGTACATGATGAACAATGCAAGTGACAACTTGTTAGTTAATGGCAATTTGCCTCTGTGATTGATTCTGTTGTACCAAATATATATCTAGAACAGGATTCTTGACATTGCAATATCAGGGAATTTTAGTTAGAAAGGGTGGTTGGGGGGTTTGTAGGAATTTGATTGTTTGTTTTAGTAAGCAGAATATAAGGCATAAAAAACAACATGTGGAGAGATCAGCTCAGACGAGTATCAACACCATCCCTGGTTTTGCACACAATCTAGCACTTTGTATGATAAAATCACTCTAGAAGCATTTAAAGTAGAATAAGGTATCTTTACTTAGAATAACCGACTGTACAATCAGAAAGGAAAAGTATACTGCACAAGTATTTCAATAGTTACAACAAATGTATTATTCTATTTATTTTATTTTATTTTTTTATAAAAAACCTCACCTTTCTCCTAAAAAAGAACCCATGATGGCTTATATCATTAAAAGCTCAATATTAAAAGCTTTAAAAAGGTAAATTATTCAAACATTAAAGAATTAATAACAGTATATTAAAATATGAACCATCTCAATTATTGACTCCTAGATAGTCAATTGCAAGGAAAAACTCTTTCCTATTTCAAAATTTATTTGTCCCCTTAGGAGCTACCATTCAACGCTAACTGGCTCAAAATAAAAAATACTTAGTTGTCTTAAAGCTTTAATCATATATATCAACATGTATCAAAATCTTGGGGCAGTTGCACAACGTACAGTATTATCAATATCAGCTTCCAAAATCCTTGTCTCCAGTACACATATTTTTAATCAACATACATTTTACTCAAAGCTGAGATAGCCAGTGTGGTGCAGTGGATAGAGTGAAGGACTAGGACTCAGGGGGCCAGGGTTCGAATCTCTGCTCAGTCATGGAAACTCGTTTGGGATGTGGAACTGGTAAAACCACTCCTTAAATATCTCACTTACCCTGAAAACCCTAGTAGGGTTGCTATAACTCAGTTCTGATTTCATAGCACATAACAAACAATTAAGACTACTATCTCATAGATGTGTGTGCACCACTCATCTTACCTTTGAGTAGATAGGATAAAAGTGTAGAAAAGCAGTTTAATCTGAGGCATGTTTGTTTAGATTTAAATTGAAAAAAACTTGCAACACATGCTGGTAAACCAATAAACCTAAAGTATGTATGTGTCTTAAAATCATACTTTTTTTGGTCTGCAATCTCACATGAATTCATTCTCTTTTTTCCCTTTTAAATAGGGGAAGTAATTTATAATAGAACTGATAGTGCTGGATGCAGCTTTTATGCAGTTTGCAGCAAGACCTGTGAGATTGAAAGGTTCCAGGGACCTTGTCCTTCGACAACTCCTTCCCATCCATCGACTTTATCTGTTACAACTACAGCAACACCACCTGCCTCTAAGTCCACCGTGTTTGTTCCAGCAACTGAACTACACACTACTACATCTGTACCAACTGCACCAAGTACCACGGGTTGTCCTGATATTGATCCACCTAGAATGGTAATGGCATTTTAATCCTGTTTTTCATTTGTGCATTACAGACCTATTTTGTCTCCTAAAAACCCAAACCTTTATGATGCCGACAAATCTTATTTCTACATTTCTTCTTGTGGAAACATACTACAAACCACCATCCTGTTACATGCTTTGCCAAATTATCCAAAAGAATTTTAAATGTGCAATTTTCTGGATTAATTGAGCAATTTTGTGTTTTTGTTTTTTTTTTAAATCTGCAAATACATAATTTCCTTTTCTTTTCCAGCAGTGTGAGCCCTGTGTCAAATATTTGTCAGTCTGAATATCCGTTTTAATGATACCAGTAATACCTTTGCTTGTTTGGTGTTCCTGCAATAAAACATTGCATCTGCATCATGTCCTTTCTACCTCCATTTGGTTGGTCTAGTTATATCTATTCATTCTGTAACTAACGGGTGCTCCGTTTAACGACGAATTTGCATTACGACGAGGTTTTTGCGATTGCAAAAGCGATCGCAAAACGACATTTTGAATGGGGGAATTTCACTGTGCAATGATCGGTTCCCTGTTTCGGGAATCGATTTTCGCTTCCCAATGATCAAAACGGCTGATCATTGGGTTTTCAAAATGGCCGCCGGATGCTGAAAGTGGCTCCCTGCTGTGTTTGGGAGCCATTTTTCACTGCACAGGCACCCGAAAATGGCCACCCTTATGGAGGATCTTCGCTGGACGGTGAGTACTTAGCCGATCTGAACACATTAACCAGGTTTTAATGTGTTTCGCTGGAACGAATTAATGTCGTAATGCAAGGCACCACTGTATATGGTTCTATTTTTATGGAGCATACACAGAAGGGACATGAACAATGTTTAGACATTTCAATGTATTGAAATCTAAATGCAAAATAAGTATCCAGCTGTGTGAATGAAAAATACAATGTCAGTAAAAGAACGTGTGTATTTGTAGCCAGATGCAACTCTAATTTTGCTTCAGAAAGGTATTTATGCATGAATCTTCAAAGCATTATAGGGCTGTAAATTGCAATGTGCATTCAGATAGGCATCCTGACTAAACTAATGCTACATGGATTGGCTAAAATAATGATATATAGAGTCTTTGGTTGGATATGTCTAGTGGTGTAGTGCTAGATGGAAAAGAGCAGATGTTTATTCTGACATTCTGATAGTCAACTCACATGCAGAAGAGGAGTCCACCATGCATGGATAAGTGCATATAAATAGTTAAGCAGTGGGATTTTGTAAAAGCAACAGCTCTCAACCACTCATTCAAGACCAAACTACCCTCAAATACCTTGCATTACAACAGGAAGAGTTTGTAACAGTAGGAAAATTAATTTATCTCTCATCTACTAGAGGGACTGAATCTGAACTCAAAGGGAACAGGGAAGCCTAAGATGGGTGGCAGATGATGGCACAGTCTCTGTGACTCAGAAAGTCTCAGGGCTTTGACCCTGGAAGCCCTGACTCTACTTCATCACTGGATGTGCATCTGATTTTATGTTTTTGGTCTAGCAAGAGATGCACATGCAGAATCTCTCTAGATAGACTGGAAGGATAGAACTTGTGCTGTAACAGTGACAGAGCTGAAGTCCTTGAGCTAAAGGTGGGATTAAAATGTAAAAAAACAATTTAATTAACAATATGGCTTGATTGGTTTATGCGCTTGGCATCTTGGGGTAGAGCATATTGTGGTATGGTACCATACTGCACAGGTGAAATGAAGAGCTATGGAGCCAGCCTATGCGCTGTGCCCATGTCTACCCATGATTTTGGATGGGTAGAGGACAACTGACTGCTGTTGTGGTGCTGAAGATGAGAGAACATTGTTGCTTGTGATATGAACACTCATTCTGTTTCTGCCTCTAGGAAATAGTTTCAAAGTTTGTTTTTGTTTTCCAGATATCAACCACTCTGTTTACCAGAGACAGGAGAGCCAAAAGCTATACTTCAATACACCCAAGGCTATAATATCTCTTTTCCCGTTTACAGCTATCTTAAACATTGCAATTTGACTCTAGTTTGGAGGAGCAGTATCACAGTCAAGAGATACATATCCCCCCCCCAAAGGGACCTGAGTTAGGTATCTGGCTACAGAGCCAAAGGTTCAATTGCCCACTGTGCCTCCAGGGATGTTAGGTATCTGGCTGCAGAGCCAAAGGTTCAATTGGCCACTGCGCCTCCAGGGGAAGGAGCCAACCTGTGTGGCCTTGGGGCAGTTGCACAGTCCCAGGGTGTCCCCAGATTAAGAAAATGGTAAACTACTTCTGAGTATTCTCTATCTGGAAAACCCTGAAAAGGGTTGCGATAAGTCAGAATTGACTTGACGTTGTTTTTGTTCAAGCATCTCTTGTACCAGCATTGGTGTACTGACGAATTGACTTGACGTTGTTGTTGTTGTTGTACAACCGTCTCTTGTACCAGCATTGGTGCACTGAAGGGATATGGGATGTTCAAGACCAATTAGCCAGCCTTGAATGAACAGTACCGTTCATTCACTGTTGACCCCTTCTGAAAGGAGGGGTTTATCTCCTCCTAACAAGCACAGCAATTTTTTATATATAATGTGTGGTTTACTTCCAGACCAACGAAACATGGATGCTAAACAACTGCACTACAGCAATTTGCGAAGGAAACAACAGAGTTGTTTTGATACTTCACCCACCTCCAGAAAAGATACAATGTGCAAGTGGACTCCAGCCAGTAAAAATAGAAGATAAGGATGGTTGCGCCCACTATGAATGTGAATGTGAGTACATAACTTACAATGCAATCCTGTACATATCTACTGAGAAGTAAATTTTAGTGACTTTCATTGGTCTTGCTACAAGTTAAGTAAATAAATAAATATAGGTCTGCAGTCTTAGGAAATAATGAGATGAATTACACATATTTTAATTTTGTGGAATAAAATATTAGGATATTTTGCTTACAAAACTTGAATCATTCATTCCTGTCCCCACTTTGTTATGTGCCTTATGGCAATTCTGTGAATAAGCAATCTCCGAAATGTCCTGTCCTCAAGAGCTCAGCTCAGCTCATGTAAACCCAAGGCTATGGCTTAATTTAGAGAGTCAGTCCCATCTCGTGTTTGGTCTTCCTCTTTTCCTGCTGCCTTCCACCTTTCCCAGCATTATTGTCTTATCCACAGAATGTTGCCTTCTCATGATGTAGCCTCAGCTTCATCATTTTTGCCTCCAGAGATAGTTCAGGCTTTCTTTGCTCTAGAGCCCACTAGTTCATCTTTCTGGCAGTCCAGGGTATCCACAAAGCTCTCTTCCAGCACCATATTTCTAACACATCATTTTTTCCTCTCCGCTTTCTTTACTGTCCAGCTTTCACACTCATACATGGTGATTAAGAATACAAGAGTGTGAATTATCTTGGTCTCCAGTGACACATCCTTACACTTGATGATTTTTTCCCTAATTCCTTCATTACTCGCCTTCTGAGACTCAGTCTTCTTCTGATATCTTGGTTGCAGTCTCCACTTGGATTGATGACTGAACCAAGGCATAAACATCTTTAACTATTTCATTTTCTTCATTGTCAACATTAAAGTTGTGTAGTTCTTCTGCAGTCATGATTTTGGTCTTCTTAATGTTCAACAGCAGTCCTGCTTTGGCACTTTCTTCTTTTGCTTTCACCAAAGTCATATGAAGGTATTGCTCCTTTCTGCCAGTATGATGGTGTCATCTGCATATCCTAAGCTGTTGATGTTTCTTCCACCAATTTTAACTCCTCCTCCTTCTGAATCTAGTCCAGCTGTCCATATGATATATTCTGTGTTCAGATTGAAGAGATAAGGGGATAAAATGCACCTTTGTCTGACATCTTTGCCTGTAGGAAACCATTCTCCACTTTAGTAAGTTAATTATTAACTTTGTCAAACATGGATATGCTGGACTGGTATCTTGTCCTTCAAATTGAATAAGTGGAAGAGCAGCATTGTGACTAATAATTCTATTCTGTTAATTGCCAATAATTTAAGTTTCTTCGTGACTGTACTCCATCCGCAAAATAATATGATTTTTTGATCTCTCCATTCTAGGTATTTGCAGCGGTTGGGCCAGTACTAATTATCTAACTTTTGATGGCAGTTTTTACAATTTCCATGACAATTGCACTTATGTCCTGGTGAAAGAGATTGTGGATAAACATGGAAATTTCAGTGTTTTGGTAGACAATTACTTCTGTGATGCAGAGAATAATCAAGACTGCTCTAGAGCCATCATTATAAATTACAACTCTATGGAAGTGGTGCTATACAGCCAAATGAGTGATGCAAGGAGAATTAACAAGGTAATGTGATGTAGGTTTTAATCCTCTGACAACACAAACCAAAATGTATCCATTCTCAAAGGACAAACAGGGACCAAAGTTATATCCACAGGACCTGCAGCATCCCAGTCAGAGCAGACCTGAGCAACTTTGTCTGCAAAGTAGTGTGCATAACCTTGTGAACCCTGTTAGGGTCATTTATGTCAGATGCAACTTTACAGGACATTAAAAAGAACGTCTGCTATTTTAATCAGAGGTGTACAGATTTGTGTTTTTTGAGTACAACTCCAGAATCCCCCCCATAGCTGCATTTGTGGGAGTTTGTAGTCTAGAAACACAAGTTGTACATCTCTAATTGTAATCCCATTATTTTTGTTGTGTTTTGGACTTTGATTGCCAAATATATTTATTCTGTTAAAAACTGAAGGTTTCTCATCTTTTTCCCCCTTGCCTTCTTCCTTTTCTCTTTCCTTCTCTTTTATTTTCCTACACTCCTTTTTCTCTCCTCCCCTTCCTTTCCACAAGAATTGAGTTCTAATAAATCAATCATATTAAGTAAAACGAGAATGAAACAACTATAAAATAATGTGGTTGGGAAGTGGGTGACCCCTGCTCAAGGTTGTTGCTCCTAAGGATTCTCATTTGTATGTGAAAATGACAGAAAATAAAAATATTTGATTATTTTATTATTAATATTAACTGTTGGAAGGCTTAATTGGATTGATTGTTTTGTTAAGATATTTTCTGTAACTGCTTAAGTGCACATATGTACAAACACTCTCCGTAAAACAACACAGTACTGTGCTGTATTAAAAATAATGTTAAAAATGTAGAGCAGCTACTGGTCTAATTAATTGAACAGCTCTAAATGATTCTAAAACAAATTATTGAGATTCTCATTTAATGCCATCTTAAGCATGTTTTAGCCTCTTTTTTATATAGTTATATATTTATTAATATTTTATATTGCTATTTATAGGTTACTTTCAATCATGATCCAGTCCATGGAGATTTCAACAAGGATGGCATTATCGTTACTAGTTCTGGTTCTATGATGAGTGTGGAAATCCCTGCCATCAATGCTTTTATTAGTTTCAATGGGGTCATCTATACAGTAAAACTCCCATATAGCCAGTTTCAACACAACACAGAGGGCCAATGTGGTAAGTAAAGTCAGCAGCTCCCCGGCCTTTCAAATCCTCTTCCATAACGTTGTGCCTTTAGTGAAAATGCATGGATTATAAAAGAAACTTTACAATAAATAGGGAGTGGCTACAGTTCTGTAATAGAGCAAATGGTTGTTGTGTGGAAAGAGGTTAAATTCACTTCTTGGTATCGCTGCTAACAAAGGAACTCACAGTCAAGGAACAGCTGCAACCAGTCAGAAAAAACAGGACTACATGGATTGGTAATTGGATTCAGTATAAAGCAACTACATTTCTCTATAGTCAAGAGTGTGTATTGAATTTTTTTTAGGGTTGCCAGGCTTCAGAGTGCTGGGTGAGATCTTAGGGAATTGGTGTGCTTCTCTGTGTTTCAAGGTTGGTATATCTCAGGGCAAGTGAGACTGGAGGAGAACAAAGTTGGTGGGGAGTGAGATGGGTTTAAAGCCTCAGCAACCATCTTCAGCCATTCAAAGGCATTGCCAGGACTCATTCACTCAGAGAGAACACATTTGTATGTCCATTTCTTCTAATCCAGCCCATTTCTTGAGCAAGGCAGAGGATAGAACACGTTGTTGCTCTTGAAGCATCTTCGTTCCACAAAGCATGGCAGCAGAGGTGCCATGCCTGCGGAAGAATTCCACCAGGTTTGTAGTGAGTTTTCTGTAAGCCTGGAAGGCCCTCCAGAAAGTTGGACTGCAACCCCCCATAGTCTTAGACCATTAGTTATACTGGTTAGAGTTTATGGGGATTTTAATCCATGTGGAGGGCCACACATTGCCCACTTCTGGCACAGGGCCTGCCGGAAAAAAACTACATAACTAGAGTCCTATGAATAAGTCTGTACAAAAGATGAGGTATAGCGCAAATGGCAGCATATGTTATAATTGCCAGGTGCATTTTGCTACCGGGGGGGGGGGAGGAAGCCAGCCACCTGGGAGTTGCCTTAGTAGCCAGTTAAAGGCTTTTTACTCCACTTCTGAGCCTGGATTCTTCCATACTCCTTTCTACAAACATCTGGCCCAGAAACAATTCCAGCTCACCACCACCACCCCTTTGCCTCCCCTGCATCTCACAAGCACCAGCCTCTTTAACATCAAAAAGGACACTCCTTGATATTACAAGCAATCAACTCTGGCCTCAGGTTTTGGTCTTAAATTTCAGGAAGTAGGGAGATAACCTGCCAATTTTCTTTGTCATAGAAAACAAAGTGTTATATTCTCTATTTAGAAAATGAGCTGCATGATTTTGGTGCCATTCAAACTGAACATGCTTAAAGCGTATATTAACTGTATATTCTGCACAGGCATAATGTGACATTTTTCCCCTCCCAGGAACTTGTACAAATGACCAGTCAGATGATTGTCGCTTGCCCAGTGGTCATGAAGCTACCTCGTGCTCAGAGATGGCTGCCCAGTGGTTGGTTTATGACAAGAATCGGACCCACTGTCAAGCAGTGCCAACACCACAACCTCCTGTGTCACCCACACCAGAACAACCTGTCTCCCCCACACCAACAATCTGCAGTACACCGGCTCCTTTGTGCGAGTTGATTGTGAGCGAGTAAGTGCAATCCTACTTTTACAAGCATTTCAGATGTTCCCTTCTGCAGAGCAAATAAATAATTGGATAGCTTTAGTTTAAAAAGTGACTTTGACACACTCTACAATAAGTAATTGTCATGGGGGTGGATGAAGCTTTCAGATTCCTTCCCCTTAGGCACTAGCTCGGTCTTCTGAATACCATGTATTAGCTTCTATTTCCCTTTCCTTAAGCAGGAAGACTTTTAAAAATTTCTCCATTTTTAACCCCAGTACTATATTGCGAACTAGAATATCAGTGGGGTGCTACTGTGCTCCATGGAAGACCAAGGGCTATTTGCTCCTGCTTGTGGTCACCATGAGACTACATAAAATAGCACTGCCTCAAATTGTATTTACACATTTGTCCAAAGGCAGTGCATATCCCTAATCTCAATCATTTTCCACTTCCTCCTGTATCATAAAGAATGGTAATACTGCAACAATCTGGGTTTAAGATTTTGCATAAACAGGGTTATTATTTCAGCAGCAATACACCACCAAATCTTTCTGGAATTAAAATCATTTTGAATCATACCTCTCTGTTACACTTCCAGGTGGAAGCTTTTTGGATGTGTACCATGTTTGTGAGCTATGGTTCACTCATGTCATCTTGTTCTGTTTTTAAAGTATCTTTGTAGATTGCCATAAGGTTCTGCCTCCCAAAGTATTCTACGAAGATTGCCTCCTTGAAGCCTGTCACTCTTCCAATGATTCCCTGAATTGTCACAACATAGAGCTGTATGCTTCCCTTTGCGCAGCTAAAGGTCTTTGTTCCGACTGGAGAAGCAAGACCCAAGGAAGATGCCGTAAGTTGAAGACGTTTGCTTATCCTCATATAAGCAATCATTGAACCAATCAATTAAAACAGCGCTACTAACACGTGAATAGTTAGTGGTTGCAAAATGGAATGTTGCATGATATATTCTGACTTTACTACTTCTCATTCTTTATAAGTACCAGGAAAGGAGAATGTAAGGTAGCGGGGCGTGGGGGGGAAGGATATTAAGAACAAAATGTGAAGATGTAAAACTCCACTAGACATAGGTGGAAAAGCTTCCTGTACTGTTCTAAGCCTTAGAAGTCTCTCCTCTGTCATGATTAGCTTTTTCTTTCTGCTAGAAATTTATTAGAGAGCTATAACCCCTTTTAAGTAGGAGAACAAGCTCCACGTTTTCACAGTTTATACTGTGTAGCCTGTAACCATTTATTGTGATATCCCTTTGTATTCCAAAATTTCACGGCTATCCTCCCATATCCTCTAAAGCAAATCCTCATCTTCAAAGAACCCTCCAGTGTGATGCTTGATGTGTCATAAATGGTTGCAAACAAAACAGAAATGTTTGTTCCTCCCTGTGCATACCAGAGTTGGTTTGGAAGCTTACAAATCTTGTTTCTGGATCTGTTGTTGTTGTTGTTGTTGTTGTTTTGACTTATATATCACCTCTAATATTTAGAGCACTCTCTGGGTGTTTCACAACATAATTTAGCAAGGGACACTTTGCCCCCCACCCCAGCAATCTGGTTACTTATTTTACCAATCTAGGAAGGATGGAAAACTGAATCAACCCTGAGCTGGCTACCTCAACTTGTTGGGATTAGATTTAGTTTGTGTCCTAAGGGACGTGGTGGCACTGCGAAGGGATGTGGTGGCGCTGCAGGTTAAACCACAGAAGCCTCTGTGGTGGAAGGTCTGTAGATCTTCAGCTGTAAGATCAAATCCACATGACGGAGTGAGCTCCTGTTGCTTGTCCCAGCTCCCACCAACCTAGCGGTTCAAAAGCATGCAAATGCGAGTAGATAAATAGGGACCCCCTCGGTGGGAAGGTAACAGCGTTCCGTGTCTAAGTCACACTGGCCATGTGACCACGGAAGATTGGCTCTGGACAAACACTGGCTCTATGGCTTGGAAACAGGGATGAGCAGTGCCCCCTAGAGTCAGACACGACTGGACAAAAATGGTCAAGGGGGACCTTTACCTTTACCTTTAGTTTGTGTCCAGAGGCTTGACTGCAGTACTGTAGTTTAACCAGTGAGCTGTGAGGCTGGCTTACTTGTGTTTAAATTAGGCTTGGTTTTGTTTAAATCGTTCTTAAAATTAATGTTAGAAATAATTATTTGTTTGCCCACTGTATTATTGTTACTCTTATTTATCAGGCAGGAAGAGTACACTTCTTTCAGAGCAGATGGGCATATCCTAAAACGTTTCTTTAAAAAATTAGCTGGAGAAAAATGTTGGTGGGGCAACCAGCAAATGAGCACAACAAAAAAGTTGTGAGTGAGAAATGAGAAGACAGCAAAAGTTTTAGTTACTAGGCATGAGAATTCCCCAGGGACCAAACCCCTATTTCAGCATTGAGGCCAATGGGAAAACAGGGCTCAGCTTTCAATAGAATACTTTACAGTCATCAGGGAACAAATTAGTTATAAGGAGGGAGCTGTATGCTGTATTGTAGCGGTTGCTTTTTAAAAGCCCTAGCTCAGAGTGCATTGTTCTAGCTCATGAAGTCATTCTCTTGACAACATATTTTATTTTCTTCTCTACAGCATACTCTTGCCCCAAAGATAAGGTGTACAAACCATGTGGTCCTGTTCATCCTCCCACCTGTGAAGATGGGTATGAATCAACCAAGCAATTAGCTCTACACTAATTAATTTTAATTGACATGTTTATTCTTAGCTAGTGTTTTTCTTTCTTGAGTACAATAGCAATGAAGCAATGGTTGTTAAGTTTTATAGAGATGTTGTAGGCATTAAGATGAGTGAAAGAACGAATATTACTATTTCAGATCATGAATCCTATCCACCTTTTTTTTTCAAAAAACATGAATGCCTATCTTTGCTTCTAGCTCATTTCAGTTTGGAGGGAAGTACATTACTATTGGTGAATACTTCAAACTTGCTCTATTTTAAAAAGCAGCTCTTAGTTTCAAGCCTGCAGTGAACGTGTACGGCCTGAATGCTTAGAGATGTTGTTGACTTTATTCCAGAACTGGGAACATTATCTTTAAAAAGAAACTCTGCATTACTCACTATTTTGAGACAACAAGATAATAGTATTCGTTATCCTTGCTCCATTTATAAAATCAGCATTTTGCATTGTCCTTATCAGCATACAGTACTAACAAAATACATACTGAGAAACAGTTTTTGCTTCCTCTAGTGATCAAATGAGATATTGCACCTTGAAAATAGAAAAAAAGACTATGAACTAAAATTGTCACTGCGGATTGATAAGAGAGTGGCATGAAACTTGCTAGACTTGCTTCTAAAAATGCTTTTCAAAAGTAACTTTTCAAAGTAATTAGAAAATGTTTCCCATTACATACAACTTTGCAATTACTTGATGCACTTTGAAATGTAACTTAGTTACATGTCTGTTTTTTAAAGGCAACTAAGAATAAGAAGCAGTGTTGCTAGTTGCTAGTTACTTCCAAATTATGGTTTGTAGTCTACCTAATTAGTCTTCAGTAAGGTTCTGTTTTCTGATTATTAGGTATGTAAACGTTATAGTCCTTGACCATTCTTCTGAAAAGTAAAATTCAGGCCAGTGGGAATTACTCTCAGAAAAGAGGGCATAGAAATGCAGTTTTATGCATAATCACCGAGGATCAAGTCCCAATGAACTTAGTGGGGTGTGTTTGTGCATGATCATGCATGGTGTTGTCTGATAATATTCTCTTGCAGGATGTAAACTAAACTCATATTGTTACAATTCACTGTTTGCCTTTTGTTGTAGATTCTATTGAACCAGGGAATAAACAGTTTCCCCTGTTCATGGAATCCATTCATGGACTTATGTGGCATCATGTTGCTTGTGCGTTATAGGAACCGTATGGAATAGTGGCCTTAAATCATTGTTTCTTTTTCACTCCATAGAAAAATAAGTTTCCATTTTCCTTCACATTACTACTCTAGTGGTGCCACTAGTTTTGACTACAAAATTGGAAACATTCATATCCATTCTTCTTTTCCTTTCAGATCAACTGTTAGTCACGAAGTGGCTGAAGGATGTTTTTGCTCAGACGACAAAATCCTGTTCAGTTCATATACTGATATATGTGTCCAAGAATGTGGTAAGTTTCTCTTTGCCCACCTCCAGCCCTCCAAGACAAAAACCACTTCTTCTTTTGGGGAAAAAAAGAGCCCCCTTCTGGTCCTTAAACAGCTCAGGATGGAACATAGAGGAATGTCCCACTGGTCCCCCAGAGTGCCTTTCTAAGTAGAAGAATAAAAGATAATAATGAGGGGCCTTCCAAGTTCTGGGGGCAGATTTTTGTGGCCTTCAGATCTTTGGAAATTGCCAACTGTGGTCTAACTACTGTATTGATTTTACCTTTTAATAACTTTTACTACTGGTTTTTAAGGTTTGTATGGTCAAATGGTTTTAATGGATGGCCAGGCTGCCCCAGGTGGCAAAGTTCACAGGGAGCTGGGTCACCATGAGGGCTCCCTGAGGTTGCCCACCCATGCTGTAATGGGTCAGGAGTGTAAACCACTCCTGAGGAGGAGGAGGAGGAGGAGAAGAAGAAGAAGAAGAAATGCTAATTTAGTCCTTTATTGCACAGAAACTCTATCTGCCAGTAATACAAAAGCAAGTGCTTAGGGGCATAGGGGACTAAAACAGGCATCAAAAGGTTCTTTCAGCTGAAATCTCCTATATTTTAAATTTTAAACCAGCTTACATATATGAGATATTGATGGACTTAGAGGAATTTCTCTCTCTTCATGTCTTTCAGGCTGTGTGGGACCTGATGGATTGCCCAAACTGGTAAGTATTTCACTGAAAATGTTATAGGTAGATTACTGTCAATATGTGGTGGGTCACCCAGACAATAATCTGGGGCTTCACAAGTGACCAAGGACCATAATTACACCCAGTGTCAAATAACCTGGCTGGCTGGGCATAATTATTCATGCTAAATCCAGCTACTGTCATTAGGCTGTCCTGGGCTAGCCCAAAATACTTTGATGCCTGAAGCGGGGCAGTTAAATGTAATTATTTATGTGTTTATTGCATTTCTCCCCCACCCCCACTTGTGACTTACAACACAGGTTATATATAACAGTCCCCTCCTTCAGGCTAGTGATCTAAAATTTAAGATACAATATACAATAAATGAGGTGTGTGAAAGGAGAGAATGAAACATATGTTTAGTTTTATATATATTCTTAACATAATCATTAATGTAATGGCTTTTGTAGTGCTGGATGGAATGGCTGAGGTAACTTGCTGTAGTAGCTGCTCCTAGCTGATGGCTAAGGAAGGAAAGAGTTTCCTCCATTGTTGCTTCCTATCTTTTGTGTCAGCAGTCAGATGGCAAAATGGCTTCCCGTACTCCTACTAGCTAAGCAAATAAGGAGACCTCATGTGCCCTTCTGTGAGGTGCGGGACCACAGCTTTGTAGCTGGTTTAATCTTTTCACCTGGTGGTTACTCAGCTCTGAATGGCAAGAAGAGAGTCATCTTGCGGTTTCAGTTGGTAGCTTGAGGGCATGCTGCTCTTCACAGCAGCTGGGCCATGGAGCAGGATGAAGGATGCCTGGCTGCTGTTCTTCCCCTCTATGGTCAGAGCAACAGCCATTGGAAGCTGGAGGGAAGAGCACCTCGTATCCAAGTCTGATCAAGTTACGCTGTCTCCTGATTCGGAATATCCCACAGATGCTGGCCCTCCTCCATGCTGCTAAGTGCACTGCCTTAATAGAGTAAACATTTGCTGCCTTTTCCTGACTCCCAGAATCAGCCACCAGAAGCTGACGTGCCACTCCCCCTGAGAGCAGGGCCCTTCTTAAGAAAGCTCAAGGCCTAAATGACCAATAAGGAGGTGGCAGGTGTCCTCCTTGCCATCATTAATGAAAGCTTGAATTAATTGCTCCTTTATTTTCACAGCCTGGCAGCAGTTGGAAAAGCAACTGCCAAGAGTGTGTCTGTGACCCACTGACAGTGAACGTACAGTGTAAGCCACAAACCTGCAATACATCAAAAACGCCTGTTTGTGAGAAAGATGGCTTCATACCTGTCTCCGTGCTCACCCCAGAAGACCCATGCTGTCCTCAAGTGCAGTGCCGTATGTATTGTTTATTTATAGCCAAGACCAGGTGACCACATGGGCCCAAATTCTGCTTTCCTTTATTTACATCTGTGTACAGCTTAATCTACAGAGCTGATTTGAACAAGACATGGCACAGAGATAGCAGAAAATAACGGCTGTCAGTGAGAAGGATAAGTCTGCCTGAAGTTGGAGTCCACCCACTCAAAAACAATGCTGAGAGGGAGGAATATGCCCTCTTAGGGTTGACATATCTCTCACTTTCCAATATAGTGGCCTTCACCTCTGAAAGCAGAGCCTCCTGAGGGCAAACAAAATGAAAGATCCAGTTCCTTTACAGAAAACAGAGATGTTCAATGATTATACTGTACACTTGACAGTTAATATCAGCAATAGTATTCTGTTCTAGCTTGATTATCTCTACAGCAAATAAAGACACCAGCCTGATTAAAAAAAAAAATCAAAACCTCGCTTGCCATCACTATAGGAATTGAAAAGAGAATCCAGAGAGGGGGGAAATGTTCCCAAATCTTAATTTTAACACATATTTGAGTGCCTGTATACCATGTCTCTGTAGTAGATCAGCCAAGCTGTTCTTTCCAGAGCTATATGCATTTTTCTTTCTCACTGGAAAGAATGTTTGACAGGTGATAAATAACAAACCTACTAGAGGGAACTGAATAGACAAGCGTCCTATTTGAGGTACAGAAGCTACAGCAAGCAATCTGTCTGGATTCATATTCTGTGCTCAAGGAGCTATACCTAGTTAAGATGCCATCCTATACATACGTGACAGCAATTCCATCCTTCATATTTACTTAGGATTGTGCATGTTAGTCCGGAACTGGGAAAAATTCCCTCCTCCTTTTCCCCCAACTACAATTTGCAGAACCACCAGCCAGCGTAGCCAGTGCTGGTGCTGATGAGGGTTCTGGGAGCTGTAGTTCAAAAAAAGTAGCTTTACTAAATTCTGGTTAATCTCCCTTCCTAGGCTTACAGTGGCTTTCTTAAAGCTGGGTAGAGCCATTATAATGCTACCCACCAACTGTGTGATTATGCCAGCAGTGTAGGATTACTGTCCGGGTATTATAGGAGGATACTGCCAGTCCATATGGGTTGTCTCCAATGCAGTTTTGGTATCACCTGGCAGGACAAAGTTCCAAATAGAGTAGTCCCAGAATGAGCTGGAATTTTTAGCATGTATACATTACTGAAACAGCGACATCTACATTGGCTTGGGCATGTCATGAGAATGGCTGATGGCCAGATTCCAAAAGATCTCCTGTATGGAAGTGCAGGGAAATCACCCCAGAGGGAGACCACAGCTGCAATACAAGGGTATCTGCAAGCGAGATCTGAAGGCCTTAGGAATGGACCTCAACAGATGGGAAACCTTCACATCTGAGCGTTCAGCCTGGAGGCAGGCGGTGCATCATGGCCTCTCTCAATTTGAAGAGACCCTTGTCCAGCAGGCTGAGGCAAAGAGGCAGTCCTGAAAGCAGCAAAATCAGGGAGCTGGACAGGGGACAGATTGTCTTTGTCTTCAGTGTGGAAGGGATTGTCACTCTAGAATTGGCCTTCTCAGCCACACTAGACGCTGTTCCAAGTCCTCCATACAGAGCACGTTACCATAGTCTATTGAGAATGAAGGATGCCTACACACTGCCAGTCTGAATAAAGCTGTTGTGCTAGCTCAGCTACTCATCCAACTTTTTCTTCTTCCTGATTATTTCTCAGAATGCAACGTTAGTGCCTGCACCAACAAGAAAAAATCCTGTGAACCTGGATACCACTTAGCCATGATCCATTTTGAGGGCGACTGCTGTAGCAGTTTTGAATGTGGTAAGCAGACACCCTCTGACACTTGGTTATTGGATTTTTAAGTACTTTCCCAAAGAATACATAGACACGTAAAACAGACAAAAATGCAAATACGTTAATTTTGGGTGAACCCAGATGTAAAAAATAAGATAACAGCAAAAGGAACTTCTTCAATACATAATTGCCACTTTTAGGACATGTGCTAGAACCTGAGACACACTCTGGAATAGCATCCACCACACGTCAAATGTTCCACCATGTTGGTTGATGAATACATTAGACTGGCACTGGAGAGATGCAAGTTCAGATCTCCACTTAGCCACAAAGCTCACTTAGGTTTCCATCCTCTACTCATACAAGGGCTTGTAGGCCCTCCTACGGAACTCAGTAGCACTTAAATCTCAGTAAATGTGCAAAAAATTGCACTATGAATTACTTTCAGCCTGTCACTCTTTTACTCTCTTTCTAATCTGAGTCAGAGATTGTGAAGATAATATATAGGTGGAGGCATGTTGGAGAAATATGCACATTGCCTCGAATTTGTTTATTTTGTTCATTAAATTCTTATTCAGCTCATCTGCCAAAAGATGGAACTTCCACTGGAGGGCAAATGGTGTGTAACTAATACAATAAAAAGAGGTGAAATGCAATGCAATGTGAAGTAATGTAACAATACACTCTTTTTATGCTTGAAGATTGGATTTTTAAAATCTGATTGTCTTTTTCTAGCTACGTTTAAAGTAACAGCCTTTTTTTCCCCCAGAACCAACCCCTGATATTTGTGTCATCAATCAGACAGTTTACACGGTAATAATCTAGTGTTTTATATCAATTAATGCTTATGTGTGTGTGTGCGTGTGTCTGTACGCCTTATGTGTATGCTCACATCCCTGCCCGCCCCCATTGTCATGGGTAGAGATTTTGGTAGCAGCACCTAGAGTCATTGGATTCATTGCCCAAGGAAACCCATCAGAGCACTTTCCTGAGCATGATCAAATGGCAAGTGAAAACAAAAATGCTACTTAAGCATGCGAATAAATGGTGATTTAATCAATCAATCAAAATATGTTTTAGTGAAAACTATAACATAATTTGATTGATTAAATCACCTTTTACTTCCATGCTCAAACAGCAATTTGGTTTTCACCAGCCACCTCTCTTGTTATGGAATGAATGGGAAAATGCCTCATTACATTCAGAGGAAATAATGATTCTATAACTCCTAGCTATAGAGCAAATGAGCTTTGCATTAGCAGTATTCCCAGATGAAATCTAAACTTCAAAAGCCTACTATTTCAACATAAGGCTTTTATTTCATTACTACACTTCAATGTTTTTTTTTTCTTTCCTGAAACAAACAACACTGAGTAAGAGTGCAAATGATATTAACCTATTTAAACCACCTACACTTAAAGGCCCAAATGGGCAGATAATTAAATAACCATTTTAAAAGGATGACTGCTTCATTAACTCTAGAAAATGATTGATAAGAGGTTTGCCTATTCGACCACACGGAAGGTGCAGGTCATTAATACAACCTCAGCTATTCTTTCCTTTACATTTCTCAGTGGCAAGCAGTCACTGGCTGTGTTAGTCTGTTGCTGCAAAAATGACACAAACTCTCGTGTTACCTTAAAACTAACCATTTTTATTTAGCATAAGCTTTTGAAGCCCACTTCTTTAGATGCACAGAGTAAGGCTCAGTAGACAGACATTTATACAGTCAGAAACAATAGACAGAAGATCTCAAGAAGCAGCTGCATCACTCAGTTGCAGAAAAACCAAAACAGTCTTGGGAATGGTTGTTGTGGGTTTTTCGGGCTCTTTGGCCATGTTTATTTACAATATATTTTTTAGCCGCACCATTGCCAGTTCTGAAGGTTGTTCTTCCTGACGTTTCGCCAGTCTCTGTGGCCGGCATCTTGAGAGGACAGGAGTCAGAACTCTTGGGAATCTTAAAAGATTTTTACCTAGCACAAGCCTCTATAGATTTTAGGGCACTTCGATACATGCATAAAAGTGAGATACAAAAAGTGGGATGCAGTTGCAGTATTCCCTACCTTGAGTACCCAGATGTTATTGAACTACAACTCCCAGAAATCCTGGCCAGAACAGGATTAGTTCAAGAACAGAGATGTGCATGGGCAGAAGTTCGTGCTAGTTTGCATGCACAGCACCACAGGTGCCACACATTCCCTTCCTCTGCCTCCCTGGCTGGATCTCACCAGCTGGCGTGTGCTCCTCTGGCTGTTCAGCCAGTCTCTAGCAGGAGCATAGGCTTCCCTGCCTCACCACCTTGGCTGATCATTCGCTCAGACAAGGAGGTAGGATAGGCAAACCCATGCTCCTGCCTGGGACTAGTTGAACAGCTGGAGGACAAGAGGAGCACACTCTGACTGCTGAGTGGGTCATTGGCAGGGAGGTGGCCCATCTCTATCCAAGAACATTTGGGGAATCTGCTGTTTGGAACCACTGCACTAAAGCTTATGTCAAATAAAACATGTTAAGATGCCTACCCCACAACTTCTTATTGTTAATGGAAAAATGTTCTTGATGGGTCCAGCAGGGGGATGGTTTTATTTTATTTGATATAAAATATTTTTATAGAGTTTCACCCACTTCTTCATTTGCACAGAGCAAGCCCTTGGTAGACAGACATTTATATGAATACTGGAGATAATGGAATTTATTATTACATAGATGAATAATTTGTTCTAAGACCATCATCTTGCAAAACACACCAGTGAGATTCTTTCCTTTATTCTCCATGTTTATATAAATACCTATGTACTAGGGCCTTACTCTATGCATCTGAAGAAGTAGCCTGAAGTCCACAGAACTTTATGCCAAATAAAACTTATTAGGTTTTAACAGGTAGTTTTGTTTCTCTTGCAGTGTTCTTCTAATGATGAATTGTTGATTATCTGTGTAGGAATTCTGGATCCATATCTAGACACTAGACCTTACTGCACTTTTTTTAACAGACTGTAGCATGTGTGAGGAGTTATGGCAACAACAAAAACATATGGAGAGCAACCATTGCCAATCTCTAAGCAAATTAGAAAGGAGAGAAAAATATATTCACATGTAGTGGGAGGCTCTGTTTTTGAACAGCTAAGCAGTGGAATTTCAACTTTTTTTAAAAAAAATGGGTTGCTCCAGTCATTAAACCAGTTCTTTATCCAGTAAGCAATAAATATGTTTAGAGTCACAAAGCTGAGAATTGCTTCAAAATGTTTGCAGCAACCATAATTATTTCAGCTTTTTAATTATTTTCCAAAACCAGTAATGTAAGGAAGACACATTCCAAAATATACATGGAGTGTCCATTGCAAGATTAGGTTAGGATAGCCAACCATCTAGAAAAAGATCAGCTGACCCATTTTTGTCCTTAACAACAACCTGATTTACAGAAATTAACAGATGAAGCTTTTCATGTCATAGAGATAAGCACTATCACTTGCAAATCTCCTTAGATCACTCACCTATTGGCATACACATTTGCTCTTAATGGCTAGAAGCCTATTTACTTACACAATCATTGAATGGCAATCAAATTGGCATTTCTGCTGTTTTGGCAACCTCTTCTTCATGCTATTGTTTATGTACCAATGTTCAGTTGCATAACTAGTTGTGTGAATGATACCAAAGAGGAAAAGGTACTGCAGAATTCCCTTTATCCCAAAATTCCCCAAATCCTGTTCAAGATGTAAATGTGGTTATATTAAGAGTGACAGTAATAAACAAAATTGCCACACAGAATATGCATTAAATATTGTTGAGAAAACCAAATGTAGTCTCACAGATAATGTCTTGGATGTTTAGACGTGAGGTATCAGATCTCTGCACAGTCTGGAACTTGCTGATTGTCTTTGCAAAACACAATTTAAATCCCACAGAGTATCACTAGAGGTTTTTTGGAGACAATATGAAATCAAGAGTTGAAAATATGTTCAACAAGAATTTGAACTGTGGTTTGTGAAGTCGCTGTGCGTGCAGTTTTGCTTATGAAAAGATTCTTCTTTGATTTTTCTAGCCTGGGATGATTGTTCCAAGTAAACCCTGTGAAAAATGCATCTGCAGTAATGTGACTGACTCAGACTCCAAGAGGAACATTGTGCAATGTACATCAGTTACATGTGATGCCACTTGCCCAGCAGTAAGTGCAATCTCTCTTTCCCATTTGGTCCTTACTTTCAAAAACTGCTTGTTATTAGAGATGATGCTCACCCATAGATTCCATGCATGATTAACTCTTACAATCTACTGAACAGGGTTATGAGTATGAGGAAAGCGATGGAGAATGTTGTGGAAAATGTGTCCAAGTGGCTTGCATAATCAACGTTAATGGTACAGCTGAAGTAGTCAAGGTAATCATGATCTCTCATTTTAAATTGTTCTTTATCAACAAACAACAAAGATAGTCAGAATCGACATTTAGCAGTCAAATGTAGCAGCTTCTTTCCTGCACTGAGGCTGGCCAATGTTTTAAAATAGAAACATGTGTTTAGAAATCCACATTCTATAGCACCTATTCTACTTCAAACGAGCGCTGAGGTTGACTGCATAACTTTTTGAAATGTGTATAAACTACACTTACTTTCCCCAGAGTCATGTTCTCCAAATGTTCTGGACAGCATCTCCCATCACCCTCAAGTTTGGAAAGTTACTTTCTCAATTAATTCCTGCTACTGATAATTTATGGGGGGGATCTGTGTCATTACTCACTGCAATATTGAAAGACTTAATACTGTATTACCTATTGTGCTGTTACTTTAAAACTGGCAGATGTGTCGCGCGCGCACACACACACACACACACACACACACACACACACACACACACACACACACACACACACACCTCGTAGGATTTATGTGAATGCCATAAAATGTGAAGCACTCTTACCACTGTTAAAAATGCTTTTAAAAAATAACTTCAAAGTACTGTAACCAGAAAACATTATTTGTTACACCAGTACAGTAACTACATGACTGTTTGTTACTTTGCTTTTTAAACATAATTTTATCACACCGTCCATTATCATAAAAAGTAACAGGTTAAAAGTAACTGTTTCAATGGTCCAAGCTCTGTCCCCATCTAAATTGGACTAAATTGAACAGGGAATTCTGTAAACATTCTGCATATGCATCATGGCTATTATTGTAGAAAGCCACTATCTGATATCTGAGGGCTCCTCACCTGGGAAGAAACACAGGTAGAAGTTCTGCAAAGCAGGGCCTCGTTGAGTTGTGGTACACCATATAACTAGGGTCCAGAAACATGCGGAGCCATCTCTTGAAGATGATGAGCCTGATCTTTTGAACAACAGTGCAACAAAAGCAGAAGCAGATAGACCCTGAAAGGTGATGTGTCAGTGAAGTCTTCCCCTCTGTTATGGCTGGCCTTGTCACTGAAATGTGCAATGAAGAGACATTTCCACATTGTACAGGGGTTTTCTGAGATAGTCAGCCACAGCCACCAAACCCAGGAATGCAGTTACCTTGTGCTTATCTAGCATTTTCCATGAGGAGGTTCAAGATAAACGAGGGTAAACGAGATATCTCCCTTGGTGGCCCCCATTGCTGATTATATAAAGTTTGTAGGGCAAGATAAAATAATGGCTTTTTACCAGTGTGTATCTGTTACAAAGCAGAACAGAAATTTGAATCGATCTAATACTATGCAAAGGAATCGTGGACCATTAGGTGACTTAAGTTCTCACAATTCCTCATGTAGTTAGAGGGCTGATGAAGCAATTTGAAACACCACCTTGACCATAAAGCTGGTCCAGGCAGGGCTGCCCAGTACATTTAGCTATATGAGCTGAAGCTCATTCTGCAAGAATATATCCAAAACACAAATGAAATATGTTCGAATCAGTGCTGTGTCTGTGTGGAGATAACAGTTGAACATAATATACTGCCATGTGTTACAACAATGTGTTACTATTTGCATTTTGGAGAATAAATAATAATAAAATAATGATAGGTGCAATGACTCTTTCATATACTCTCACACACAAAAAACTAATACCTGCCTCTTACTTCCACATTGGGTGTGGGGTGGCATCCTCTTCAGGACAGCAAGATAATTTAGGAAGTGCAGAGCAGGCTGTGTAATACTCTTACAGTAGTTCCATTTTCCCAGTATAGGTACTTCATTACAGCCACTAATACTTGCTGTGTGAGATAGACTTCTTGCCTAACAGTAGGGCTGGAACTGGGCTTGGGAGAAGCAGTACCCTCCATAACAATATATTTCACTCACCCTGAACTTAAGCCCATTTACTTGTGGGTAAATCAACAGAATCTAGTTGCATATAACTCTGTTTCAGAAGGTAGATGCAGAGTTGCTATGAAGCTGCAGGAGAATAGGAAGTTTAGATAAAGTATAATGCCCTGAATTGCTAAGGTAGGGATCCGTGTGTGAGAGAAAGATGTAATGTGTGTTTTATGCTTGCTAAAGCTCACAAATAAAAATATTGCTATCTCTTGTTTATTTTCAATAGCCTGGTGATATTTGGCAACGAAAGGATAATAACTGTAGTCAGTATGAATGTGAGAAATTGGACGATACGTTAATTTTGGTCAATGTTCGAAGAACATGCCCGCCTCTTGACCCAGAGTGCAAACCTGTAAGTTGTATTTCATTCTTCATTTATAACCATTTCTGTTCTTTACTCTGTTGATTTCAAGACAATATGACAAATCCCATAGCAGAAAAGAACATTTGATATAATTATCATCACCAGTTATTCAAAGATGAGAGATTGCATGACTGCCAGGAACATTTTTTCTAAAGGCTTTTATACCATATACAGAGCCCTTGATTATTGCCTCCTGAATAATCCTCTTGTGGCTAGTAGAACTAGTGGCAAATTAAGATGCAAGATATGCCAATCAGTTTCAGTTGACTAATGGCCAGACAAAAGTCAGAGCTAATGTTTGCTTCCAAGAGTGGTAATGCTTCCCTACATGAAATTCTGCTGAGAATTTGACCAATGGTAGAATTCCTTTTGAATAATCCCTTCCCTTTGCAAATTTCTGCATCACTTCTCCAACTCTTCCACACAGTCCCACAGCATTCTCCTGGAAGAATTGTAAGATACATAAGAGGGAGGAACTCAACCAAACTTGTGTTCTGATATGTTTCTTGCTCCTTAGAAATAAGTTTGTAACTGATCAGTTATGGGTATCTGTTTTAAAAAGAATGATAGATTTAAGCATTTATTCACTGTGTGAAAACCATTACTATAGAGTTCTTACCATGTTATTTAGCAATAATAGTACGGTTTTCCCCCGCTTTCTCTTTTTCTGCTCAAAAGGATGAAATTGAAATTACTCCTGATGGCTGCTGTAAAACATGCAAACCTGTAAAGAGTAAGTGGAGTTTTTGCATACTTTCAACAAGAGTGGTAGTTATTGGCAAAAGGAACCCATGAATAATTCTCTGCCTAAATTCAAGCTCAGATCCATCAGTTTAGTCTGAGAACTAAAGTCCTCTTCAGCCCTCCCTTTTATTATAATGAAATGTGGAGAAGTACAGTGGTGCCACGCTAGACGATGATAATCTGTTCCACTGAAATCGCTGTTTAGCGAAATCATAGTCTAGTGAAAAGCATTTCCCCATTGGAATGCACTGAAACCTGTTTAATGTGTTCCAATGGGGAAGAATCGTCGTTGTCTAGCGAAGATCGGCCATAGGAAACCGCTTTGCAAACCGCTGATCAGCTGTTTAAATAGCTGTCTTGCGAAGCTTAGGGCCCGAAAACACCCATTTTGCGAGCACGGAGGGAGCTGTCAAAATTGTTTTCTAGTGAAAATTGGTTTGTGAAGCAGGGACCAAACATTGTCCAGCGAAATTCTCCCATAGGAATCACTGTTTTGCAAATCGCTATAGGGATCACTAAAAGTCAATGTCTAGCGAAAAAACTGTCATGCGGGGTAACTGTCTAGCGAGGCACCACTGTACAACTTCACAGCCTTGCTCTCATCAGTTTTCCTTTGCTAAGATGTTCCTGTTGCATTAACTCCTCCTAATGAAGGCCTTGCTTTCATAAAACAAAAGCATAGACCATCTGGAAAACTCATTAAATGGACTCTTAAGTTAGAAAGTTGTCTATTACTGAAGACCTATGAGTGAAAAAGGAAGGCTGTTAATGCCCTTATGAACCTTTCTTATGCTAGCTTATCAGTTCCTGTATCCACAGTAGTGCATATGAAAACAAGATGTGAGGTTTATTGATTTTCTGATTATCTTCTTTTTTATCAGAAGACTGCAAGGTTCACAAAAATCAAACTCTTGTCCGTCAAAATGAATGTGTCTCTTCTGAAGTTGTTGAAATGACCTACTGTGAAGGGACTTGCCCAAGCTCATCAGTGTAAGTGACAAGAAGCCTCTCATATTCATTGACCTACTTCTTCATTCAAGTGACACTGAACACAGAATTACCTAGGTCCTCACAGGAAATGTTTTGAGCATCTGGAAGCACAAGCATTCCCACTGTATTGACTTCAATATTTGATTTTACTGTGGTAGAAAAGACTACTGCTTATACTTGACCGATCAGTGCTACAATCTCATCTGAGTTGACTCTGGTGACCAAGGTCATGTTCAGAGAAAGAATCATTGCTAAAGCTTTAGAGTGAAGTCTTGTGCCTGTGATTGGTGTTCTTGTACATTCACTGCCAAACAGAGCACAAAGGGCTACAGTTCTGATTTTGCACAACTACGGTACTATATGAAGTAGAAATACTACTGTGTCCTTTTCAACCTCTGGGGGTCAACTGTACTGATTCTATTTTTATCTACCTGAAATGTGAGTTTAAAAATGGAAGAGATAGCAATATTTTAATCATTCTTATGATTCACATGGCAGAAGCGAAGGATCCTGGGCTATGTGCAATTTTTTCTTGCTGCTCATAACAATAAATGAACGTTGGAATGGAAATCTAATATATCTTTCCGTGGAATGATTTCCCATTCCCCTGTTTACTTCTTGTTTGAAACTAAATTTAAACCTTGAGTAAGGAAAGCTTTAAGATAGGGCTATAACTAACATGGAACTGAGGCTTTTCTCCAAGGCACCAACATTTAGAGGGCACTGAGATATAGAGGTGAATACACCAATGCAGGTTAGGAAAATAGATAGCAATGCCTCCTGGACCTGTTCACTTTCTTTCCTCGTTTTGTGGGTATGACATATTTAACCTCCTTTTTCATGGAGTGGAGGTGCCCATGCATTAAGATGGATAGAGTGGAAGGGAGAGAGAAGTGTTTGCCTGAGGTACCAATATTGCTCAGCTTTCTCTGAGGATCTCGCTATCATTCTAAGGTGTCTCAGTTTCTCCTTTAAATGGATATTATTTGGGGGAGTTACTTCTTCATTAAACTACCAAAAGAGAGAGAGAGAGAGAGAGACTGCTTTTGAAATCACCCGATCCTGTTTGTATGAGTGTTTCAAACAGAAGAGAACTTTTCACCACTGCGATGACTAGCATCCGATAAATCCATGCTGGAAACAATGAGATCCAGCAGTGAGCTTGTGTAGTCAAATTACTTTTTGTGGGAAGTGTCTAACTTAATCTCTTTCATTTGAACAGATATTCCAATGAGGCAAAGGCAATGCAGCACAAGTGTACTTGCTGCCAGGAGCTGAAGAGCCATAGGAGAGAGGTGACCTTGACATGCTCAGACGGCAGAAGTATCAATTATGATTACATCTATGTGGAGGAGTGTCAGTGCATGACCGCATGTATTCCTGAAACCACAGCCAGCTAGAAAAAGAGAAGAAGGATATGCATTTGGAGCAGGACAAAAAATCCAGTAAACTCCAATTAGCATTAGTTGCCACATAATGCTACTTCAGATTGTTCACGGTGTCCTCAAAACAGTCAAAGGTGACTTTTATTTCTTGGTCAGATGCTTAACCAAATTAATGTTGTCTAAGAATTTACAGTCATCTAGCTCATACTTTACAAAATGAGTGCAGCAAGAAGTGCTCTAAGTATCCTAAAAATACAGTTAAATTATGACAATTATGTGTAACATTTTAATGCAGAAAGTGGAAGTGTTTTCTATGCTTTGCTGTTTATTTTTGGCCACAATCTTGAATTACTAAGCATTATTTTCTACAGGTAAAATATTCTGTATAGTGTTAATAGGCATCTGGCAGTGATAAAAGATAAATCTGTTTTTCCATTTACTTGTTTACGATTAATAAAGAAATTAAGCATGGTTCAATTTTCACAGCTGCTGTTTTTATTCAATGATCATTCAAATCCTATAATTTTAAAAAAATCACATTGCGCTTCAATTTGACTGTTTTGAGACCAAAAGACTGTGACACTTGTTCTCCAGGATTCCTTTGCACTTCACTACTGTTTTTACCTAGTTGACAGGTGGAATGTATGGTATTTAGGTTTCTTTATTTGGAGAGCTAAGTGCAATTTATTTCATATAGTTTGGACCAGTCACATGGTGGTCATACACAATACGCCCACTAAAAACAGTGGAAAGAAAGAAAGAAAGAAAGAAAGAAAGAAAGAAAGAAAGAAAGAAAGAAAGAAAGAAAGAAAGACCCTCCAGTTTATGAATGTGATGTATCATGCTTCTGTATCTAAAATTCGAAATGGCCTGATGTTGCTCACAAAATCGTGCCCATGTTGCCAGCAGGAAAAAGGATGCAACGTTTTACGTAGCAAAGGGTAGCCTGAATATCAAACAACACTCATGGCAACAGTCAAGAAGGTTTACAGGATACCCCCTTGTGGTCACTACCATTCACAAAATGAAGCTAAGCAAAGGAAAATCCCAGAAACTAACTCTTCTTTTCATCACTTCTCACCCAAACACAAAGCAATTGTCAGGGCTGTTTTTCAACAAGTTCTGAATGGTAGTGAGCACAAGAGGATATACTAGCATAGACCATCCTATAGACAAGAGAATATCCTGCTGCCATTGGTGTTGCCAACATCCAGGCTGCCCATTGCTATTTGAAGCTTGGCATCCTTTTTCTTGTTGACAATGCAAGCAGAATATTGTACTGCAGTGTCAGGCAATTTCCTTGCACACTGCATTATGAATACAAAAACACAATATCCTACATTTATAAAACACTGGGATTTTTGGAAGAATTAAATTTCTTCCAGCCACAAAGCCAAAAACACACCAACAAACAAACAAACAAAAACACAGTAATTTCACAGCTTAAATGAATTTTGCTCCTTAACAGATAATTGCAGAGATAAAGCCATTAGTCAAAATTGACTTTAAGGCACAAGTTATTAGCACAGGTATTAAAAAGTACAAGTAGAATTGCAACCTTAATGAGGTTGCATCACATCTGCACCTTAATGCACTGAAGTTATCATATCCTTAGTTCATTTTACTCACAGTTATTTAATAGAGCGAAAGATATGGGCCAAAACTATGCAAAAAGAGTCAAGGCCATAAGGAGACTTGAGATTTTAATCCAAACTGTCTATATCTTCTGCACTGCTTGCAGAACAAATGAAAACCATAATGCATTCCCCCATGCCAAGCCCAACCAGCCATTACTTCATGTCCAAGATTCCACCACAGTACTTTCATTCTTTACTTTCCTTTTGACAAAAGGCTACAAAATGGGCATTCTTCTTGGAAAACATCAAAGCAACAAATGATGCTGTATTCTGACATCCTGTATCGCTGCCTGTTAAAGGCTGGTTTTATGGAGATACAAGCACAATGCAGCCTTTGTGAGCCGGCTGTTTGCTCACAACCAACTGTGTTGCTCCACTATATTAATTGAGCTCTCCTGTTTTTCTCAGCTGGCATGGCTGTTGTCTGGTGAGACGCAGTGACAGCAACAAGCCTTCTATCTGAAAATAAGGGTTCAGGCCTGGTGTTTAGTATTGGACTAAGATGGTTGATTATATGTTTCCTTCAGAATGAGGGAGAGGGAAGTTTTCTTGTTTAGCCTATGGAGAAAATTATGTAGGAACATTCCTAGCCCCAGCAGGTCATCTATACTATATTACAGAAGACTATACCCTGATGCTTCCCTTAAGGAATTTTGCTTTCTTGCCACCATGCAGAGTGACTCTGCTGAAACTCTAAGTGCCATATAAATCATTCTTCCTTTTCTTTTGACATGAAATGCCCCCTGCAGAGAAGATAGCTAGCACCATTCTGAGCTCTTTTTACATTTTCAAATGATTTCCAGCAGTGCAAAAATAGCAATAGCACCGTATTTTAAACAGAACTGAATCTTTCTTCCATGTACTACTACTGCTGCTTCTTTTAAGAGAACATTTCACGTGAGTTCATTAGATACCAAGGGTACTGAATTTCCTCAAGAGAAACTCCTATTTTGACCAATTTGGGATGGAGGCTAAAAGAACTTCTGCAATTACAGTAAATAGGACCAAGTTTATCAGTGTTGCTTCTGGCTGCGAACAAATCTCACTTCACCTGCAAAACATTCACACAAGAAAATGCATTAAGAGCTTCTATCAATTTCAACCCACTAGATTTTTGTCTGCAACAAAAAAGTAAATGGTCTGAGCTATTTTACTTTTCCAGTATGGTCATACTCTTGAGTTGGTTTTGGTTCCAACCTGTTTATAAGAGGGCCTATGAATTTGTGATGAAAACATGATAAAGCACTACTTTTGGAATGTAGGTAATGATAATTTTAAAAAGCTATGAGTACGGACGGAAACAAAGATAATGTCAACACACTTGCAGATTTGGCAAAGATTGCCAAAGGATACAATTCATAAATTTGGAATAAAATACTACTACAACTAGTTTTTCGGTTTTTAAAATCAGTCCATATATGACTATTATTCTAGAACAGGGGTCTCAAACTTAATTTACCTGGGGGCCCCTGGAGGCAGAGTCTGGGTGAGGCGGGGCCGCATCAGATTTTCCGCCAAGTGGAGCAAGAGCCTGAGGAAGCCACCTAGGAGTTTCCTTAGCCCGGCTGGGGCTCCGAGGAGGAGGAGTAGCGCTCAAGCCTTGACAGCAGAGGCCACGTGGGCGCTTTGGGGGCAGGCAAGGCAGGGGCCACAGACTATCATCCGGCGGGTCGCAAATGGCCCTCGGGCCGCATGTTTGAGACCCCTGTTCTAGAATTTTTTAAATGAGTTTAAGATTGAACATCGATTCTATTGATGAAAGATTGTGATTGATACACACAAAACAATGATTAATTTTCACCATAATTTAAACATTGGAAAGTCATCTAAATAGATCTGTTAATAATTATTCACATATCAGTAGAAGAATAACAAATGGTGGCCTGATTAATGTCTGGAGGATGGTGTACAGCAGGGATCATTAACCCCCGGTCTGCGTCCCAGTGCTGGTCCATGAGTTAGCTGGAACTGGGCCGCGGACACAGATCTTCGCCCCCCCGCATGGGGGGTGTTGCGCTTGCTGGGGGGCATGTGGCCTTCATGCTAACCCTTTCCCCAGTGCCCCTTGCAGGAGAGCAGCGCCCCTTCCCTGCGGGGAAGCCTCCGTGGGGCAGCCAGCCTGGGAAGCGCCCCGATGCACGGCTTTGCTTCTTTGCTTGCTTGCTTGCTCGCTCCCCATCCTCCCTCCCCAGGGAGTAGCCGGCTAACAAGCAGCTGCTCTCCCCCTCCCCCCACCCTTGCCTGCCTGCATCCTCCATCTGCAAGAAGCCGGGATGTGGAGCTACTTGCGGGGGGCAGTGGGAGAGACGGCAACAGCCGAAGCCAGAAGGGGGAGAGAAAACTACATCTTTTCCTACCTTGTGTTTTGAATCCGCGTCAATTAACCAATCATCTATGTAAGGGAATACCATAATGCCACAAATCTGAGGTGTGCTGCAACTGAAGCCATGCACTTTGTGAAGACTCTGGTTGCTATTAATAGAACAAAAGGAAACACTTTGAATTTGCACATCTTGTTGCCAAGAGTGAAATGTAGAAAGCACTGGTGTTCTGAATGGATGGCAATATGGAAGAAAGTGTCCTTGAGGCCTATCGCAATAAACCAGTCTCCCTTTTTCAGAAGTGACAGGATTGTTTCCAGTGTCATAATTTTGAACTTGTTGGTGTCTATGTATGAATTTTCTTCTCTTCAGTCTAGGATAGGTCTCTGTGGTGTTTGCCCTTGTGGCCTCTCCTTGTCCTTCTGTCACAAAGGCTCACGTCATGTTTTCCTCTCGGTGCCACCAGTGGATTACCTCAATCCACCAGTGGATTACCTCAATCTACAATATAAATGTTTGTCTGAACACTTGACTTGTGAACAGAAACAAAACTTATTTATTGAAGTGAAGCAGATTGAATAAGAAAATTATCAACAGTTCTCTCAGTACATACTTTCCCCTTGCTATATCATTACCACCTTTTCTACCTATTTTCCTAACCAGCTTTTATATCTCTCAGTATGTGTTCCCTCTCTGACTAAACAGTCCTATCTTTGACTCCTCCTTCTCCCACCAAACCTCGTGTAGCTGCTGACTCCGCCTCTCCAGTCCTCTCATAGGCTCATGCAAATCAGCTCATGACTATGAATGTCATGAGTGATGTGGGGCGATCGTCAAAGTCTCATGCCACCATCCTTTTTTACAACAACGAAACAGTGGGAGTAGACACCCTCCTCCTGAGACATGTGGGTTTTTTTTTCTTGTATAGCATAATTCTGGAGTAGTGTGGGTATCTCCTTGTCCAGAGCTTGAGATGGTGTTGCAGTCCTGAAATAACCTGTTGAGGGAAGGGAAGTAAACTTTATAGCATAGCCATGTTCAAATATGGTCAAGACCCAGTTGTCATTGGTGACAGTGTGCCAGATGTTAAGATATGCCATTGATGATGGTATATTTTGGTGAAAGAGATGGATATTGCCATTAGGAGAGTCAAAGCTGTTGCTTCAATTTCTTCTCTTGTTGTTTGGAAAGATTTGTGAATCTGTATTTGGATTTTTGCACAGGCTGCCTGAAGAACTGAGAAGATGTGGAAGGGGGAAGTTTGTTTCTCTCTGATGAATTTCAGCTGGAAAAGGCAAGAGCAAGGGCACCTCTACTAAGGGCAATAATTTTTTGCTGAGGTTGTGAATTAAAGCTCATCCGTTTAACTGCGTTTCTTTTCTTCTAAAAACTGTCCATGGTGTCATTGCTTTTGTCCTTAAAGAAACCCTTGCCATCAAATGGGAAGTCCTCTATTTATGATCATGAATCATCAGAGATTTCTGCTGACCTTAGCCAAGCATAAT